TAATTAAGATTATTTTTAGTTTTTATTTATTTTCTCCCTTGTTAAAATGACATTGCGGAGGTACCCTGGACTTAAAAATAATAATAATAATAATAATAATAAAAAATAAAACAGTAATTAAAGAAGCTTTCTTCACTTCATAACCTGCTCAGCAGGTGGGTCAAGACCAAGAATATGCTGCAGATTTGTTTTGACTGCTGGCGCAATCGTCAAAACGTCTATAGCTAAATACATAAACCTTGAAATGTTGATAGCATGCTATATCAGTAATAAATAAAGCTATTTAATAAAAAAATGGCTATATAGCCTTAAGACCCATACCATATATAAACCAACCCAAATAATTTATAAGCAGACTTCATACCTGCCCAAAGCACAATCAATCAAGTTCACAACCATTAGCTAATGCCATTTAAATTCATACACAGTGTGAGTATTCAGTGATCTGTAGTGATGTCATTATCTGATGGACAACCAAAGCTTGTAAAATGAAGCTATAACTTTAAAGTTTAGTTTGCAACAATCCTGTGTTAAATTCTATGAATGTAGTTTGACTTCAAATGTCATTCATCACCAATGGTATCTTGAGCTGCATGGCGCAAAACCCCTCCCTGCCTCCTCCCCGTATGAATATGCTAATGACTCTACTTTGGCAAAACCCAACGAAAAAGCAATGGCAAAAGCAAGCCAAAAGAGAAACTTTAAACAGAATGTGAACTGGAGGTGCTGCTTTTGGAGGTAGACCGGAGAAAAACGGTTTTATTTGCAAGTTTGTTCTCCGGAATTAATAACAAAACAAAAGAATAGAGTGGGAGAGTTTAGCTGATGCAGTTAACACAGTTGGGTCTGAACATCGCACTGAGTGGATTTAAAAAAGAAATAGTGCAATGTAAAGGTGTAAAATTTTGTAGTGTCTTTAACAGCCTGAGTGGTGCAGCCCGTTAAATGCATGGCAATATGTTTTCACACGTTCAAGCATGAACTCGGTTCGAATCCAGCGTCTGATGAACTTTCTCTTTTTTTTCCCACGTTACATATCAGATTTTGCCTATACTCTTCATCATCATGAGGAAGACAAGTGGAAATCATTAATAAGTCTGTGCATCATATTTTATTTGCACATTTATTGCATGGAAATGTTTCTCATTCACGTATGCAAATTCATCCACAGATGGTGCCTTTATTGCAATGTGCGTGCAGTAGATAGCTCCGATTACATTGGGAAAACTGGCGACCGCTGCAAATTGCGCTTTAATGTTTGGATGGTCAACTGTATGATACAGAAACCTTATATACTAGACATGCGGATGAAACCTTCTCATACAGCTGAGAAGACACTTTGTAGAGTGCAATTTAACACAACTGCCTCT